TAAAAAATTTCTAAAATTACTTCAATTTCATATATTATAAATTATATCTATATATATATATATATATAATTTATATGTATATGTGTGTGTATTAATAATTAGACTTGGTACCATAAATGAATATGTATAAATGTTTTTATTTTTTTAGCATTTTTTAACTTTTATAAAATTCTTCAACTATCTTTATTATTATAATAAAAATTTATTAATATAATTTATAAAAATAAAAATTCTAAACAAAATAAAAATATCTATACCGATATATGTACGATACCAAGTCTATATATTAATATTTTGTAAATAATAAAAAAGTTAATATTATACAATTCTTATATGGTTTCAAGAAAAATAAAAGTGTTACTACAATGATAATATATTAAAAATATTTATAAAATATAAATCTAATAGTTGATTAATACTATAAGTTTAAAAAATAAAAAAAATTACTAAAATGGTAAAATATTAATAATCTAAAATTGTAGAAAATAAAATTATAAAATAAATATAATAAAATTTCTAAAAATAACACTTCTAAAAAAAATAAAAATATCTATACCGATATATTTACGATACCAAGTCTATATATTAATATATTTATGTTGTTTAATTAAAATACAAGAAATTAAAATAATTTTAGAAAATTATATTTTGATTAACATTTTAAAAGTAAAAGAAAATAGCAATTATTTGTGAAAAATTATTTAATTTTTTATAGATTCAAAATAACATTTAAATAAAAAAAGTAAGGGTAAAAAATTAAAATAATAATTAATAGATTATAAAAACTTAATAACAATATTAGAAAATTAATAATATTAAATAACATGTCAATTAAATATAAATATCTGTATATGATTGAATAATTATAAAGAGATCACTAAAATATATTATTTATAACATATACCAAAGTAATATAGCCTTATTATATAATATATATGTGATTAGCAATTATTTACCAAACCAAAATTTGGCTATACAAATTGTATAACATTTTTGCGAATTGTGATTTGCTACCTTTTTGTTAAATGACAATCTACCACGCAACCGAAGCATAACATTTCAATTTGGCTAAAAACGACAAAAGAAAATAATTGTTGCACGTAAGCAATAAGCACCCCACCTTGTACGGATATATGACGAAAACGAAGTGTAACCGTGTAAAAAAAACAATACAAATTTTACAGACAGTGAAAACAAAACATATCATATGGCCATAATTCACTTTGATTCACAATCCTATCCCTCGAAAACACCTTTGTACCTTCTCATTATAGGCCTCCAAAATGCAAACTTCATACCTCCCAAAAGCATTTTGATGAAATAAAAAATTAAGACAAAAATTAAATAACTAATCCAACTCAATTGCAAAAGATTTTGTTTGTTTGTTTGGCTTTGACATTATTCTAAAATCGATCCAAGTTGAATTGCAACCTTTTCTTGTTCTAATCAATTTAAATGAATTTTTATCTCAAAATCTATTCAACTAATGTTTCAACACTCTTATTTTTAGAGGTTAATCAGATCGAGCAAAAACTTATCCCATTCTAACTCTAAATGTATCACTGTGAGCTTTAGCTATACTAGTCAACTCAATCTTACTTCCAATGGATTTAATTTGTAAAAAATCAGCTTGATATTTTTTTCTTGAAATGTGTTTGGTTTAAAAAATAAAAAAAAGGAATGTGAAAGGAAAAGAAAGAGAAAGAAATGGAAAGTAACATGATTTTGTAGGTTATTTAATAAGAAATAAAATGAAAAAGGGAAAGTTAAGTAAATATATAAAATAACATAAATATTCCGATTTAAAAAGAAATATACAAAAACAATATCATTTTGTTCATATAATGTGTAAAACAATATTTCTCTCTCCTATTTCCATTTTAGAAAGAAAACTGGATTTGTAGACTTTTAAAGTATTCAAACAATGGAAAGAATGTTTTTCTTTTAACTTTCTCTTCTATTATTTTCCCGCATTCAAACGAAGCATAAAGTTGTTTTTGACTAAGCTCAATCAACTTGGGTATTGAAAAGAATTAGAATAAGTTTACTCTTTTAAAAAGACACTGGACCCTTATATAGTTATTAGACTTGGACTTGAAATTAATGAATGAGTTTAGGTTTAGTTATTTTCTCTTTAATAGTTTAATTTAAAATATTAAATTTTTGTTAGATTTAGTTAGAAATATTGTCTTTAATAGTTATTTTATTTTGTTACTTATAACATATGTAAAAATGATAGGCTGATTTGGTGTATATATTTTTTAAATAATTTTATTCTTAAATTTTTAAATATTAAAAAATAATTATTCTTACAAATATAATATTCAAATTCAAAACCTTACTCAAATTCAAAACCTTGAAATTTGATAAGTATAATTTTTAAATATTTTTATTAAATAAAATATAAAGGTATGAAGTGTTACAACTCTTATTTGCTACTTTTTCTTGATTTCTTTTTATGAAAATAAGATAAACCAATTCACCAACAATTAATTTCATGTGAATCAAATTAGATCACATTTTTATTTTTATATTTTAAAAGTAATAAATTAATTCAATTAAACCCCAACTAGACTCACTTTTTAGTTTTTCTAGATAGATAAAAATTTAAAATTAATTCTATTTGATGAAAAAGTTCTTAATCAATGTAAATATAAACATATTAAAATTAATTTTACTAATAACCAAACATGCATCAAGATTCTAATTATTTTAGATACAACAAACTTCATTCTAGACAAACCAGAAGTAAAACCATACATACCCGCAGAGCAACCGAAGTTAATAATCGCATCGGTTTTGGAACGCTAATTTCTTTGCATTTGACAACGGTTTTCTTTTTGAGAAATTCTATGGTACCCATCTTATTTGAGAGGGTACCGGTACAGTTTTTTATATTTTATATTTTTAGTAATTTATTTAAATAATATTTATGATATTTTATTCTTTTAATTTTTAAATTATTTAGTTATTTTATTTTTATTTTATATATTCTAATTTATTTGTAATAATATTATTATATATTTAAATAGTTTAATTTTAATAATTTTTTAAATATATTTTTATCTTTTCACTTAAAATTTTTGGATTTTTATATTTTAATTTTAATAATTTTTTAAGTATATTTTTTGTCTTTTTGTCTTAAAATTTTGAATTTTTATATTGTAATTTTAATAACTTTTTATTTCTACTATTTATTAATTTTTTTCTTTTTCTTTAATATTTTATAATATTATTGAAAACTTATAATTTTAATCTCTATAATTTTATTTTATTTTTATTTTATAAGTTAATTTGGATTATTCATTTTATAATTAAATTAATTTTTTTAAAATTTTTTATGAGTTTACATAGAAAAATGTATTGGAACCCCTCCATCTTTGAGGGTACCGTAGCAATTCCCTTTCTTTTTTCGTTCTTTGAACAGTTCAGTTGAGAAACAGAAATTCCGAATAGGCAATGAGAGATATTTTATTAAAAATGCTATTTCATTAAGCCTGCTAAGTGTTAATAGGTAATCTGTACAGCAATTTAGCTTAAAAACGAATAATTTTTTTTACGAAAGGAACATAATTTTATACAGGAACCAATAACACTCATGCATTCAGTGACGTGCGTCACTCCGAGGGACAGCTAGCTATGTTCATCATGCGAACTAGACTTGTTCCCATTGCACATCACAAAAATTCCCCATTTGTATTTGTACGCCCATCATACTGGAAGCTTCAATTTGAGCACCTGTCTATCATATGACTTGCAGTTGCAGGGATTATATTATTATATATACCTGAGTCCGTCCTTCATCTAAACATATATTTCTATTTTCTAATGCAGAAAAAGAAAGACCAATTTGTGGGTTCCCCCCCATCCCCCGTCTTTTAGTAGCTCAACTTCACTTTTACCCTTGTAGCGCTGAGTACCCAAAAAGCAACTGTGCCCCTCACACCTTTTTGGTTCACAACAAATTCCCCAGTCCAATCCCGCCATCTAAAGCACCAATGCAACTTAGTGCAGTGAGAAGTCAAACCCAACCCCTCCTCCCAAGACTCTGGTAAAGAAGAGTTAGAAGGAGATCAAAAGTTTCTATTCTCCGCAAACGGCAAAGATACGATTCCAACTTCCAATAACTAAACCCCCTTATGAAACTCTCTCGTGATTTTGAGCGGCACTTTCTTCTTCACTCCGTTGTAGCAACTCCTCATAAGCTCTCACAGTTTCATCAGTAAATCTCTCCATAGCCTCAAAAATGCGCTGCAAGCTAGCCTGTAGACTACTGCTTTTGTCACTCTGATATATCTTATTCTCAGAAACTGAGAGACCTTTACCTTCCCCAGATACCAGAATCACCTTTCGCTCTAACGCCTGAAGTTGCTTCTGCAGCTTCTGGTCATCTCTATCCATATTTCTTACTTTTCTCTCAAGATCCTTGTTCTGCATCATCTGCTTATGCATTTCTAGCTTATCTTGTTCCCATATCTGAAGCACACTCATGGTAAAGACATGCATGGAATCAACAACTTCCTTTTCAGATATTCTATCCAAAGCTTGGGACCACTGATTACATATTACAAATATTTGGGGAGCCCCAATCCTACCAGGAGAAAAGGGGACTACGCCATCAGGTGTTTCTTCAGGTTCATAAAGGAGACATTTAAGCAACCAATTATTCAGTGCTCTAACATAACCTTTCTGGGCACTTATCCAGCCAGAGAATTGGAAAGTCCAATTGATAAGATCTTGTTCAAGTTGTTTGGTTGCTTGAAGATGACTATCGCCGCTCTTCTTCCTGGATCCTATGGAACCCAGTATTCTGGCTTCTCTGATCGCTTCGCACTGATTATGATGACATTCAAGCATGGATTTCCACATTCTAGTCAACCTGGAAATAAGTTTATGATATATCATACGGTATATTCATTGAATGTTATGCATAGACCCCACAAAACTTCTCAGATGATAATTATATCATTACTATGAGGGCAGGAAAAACATTTATCCATACTATGAATGTATATCTCACTTGTCTGTCTTAACCGAAAAGGACATTATAAAAATGTCAGCAAATTCAAAGAAAATGAGAACATTAATTCAAAATACAGAGACTTGTGAAGAATAAAAAAAGGGAAATGGTAACAACAGAACAGCTTGGGTGCAACGGAAAACTGGATGGAGCATTGAATGACTGCAAATACTGAATTCAAGTGCTCAATCCATTCACACAGAAATAGACAGGGTATATTTTGAGGTTTTCATGTTCCTCTTGTAGATTGGAAAGAAATCATTTTTCGGAGAAACTCTTGTGGGGTTGCATCATTTCCCTGTAAATGACTATTTATCTGGCTGATTTAGCTCAAGCAAAATATTATCAAGAAATTGGCCAAATGAACTTCCAAATTATCTAGATGATATGGTTGGAAGTTGTAAACAGACACCAGATTAAATAGAAAATTTTATGAAATTATCAGAAAAGGTCCTAGAATATGGACAAGTATTTGCTACTGTCAGCAGCATGTGCAGATTGCAAGTGGTTGGTTGAATTTCCTTAGGATATTCATTTTCACCATGGCCATAAAAAAAATTCAGAAAATTGCGCATCAATATTTCAATTCATTTCATATGGGTTAAAAATATAGAGGTGATGATGCCAAAGGAATGGAACCTCAATAACAAAAATAACCCCTTCCATTAAATCTGTCTAATGTTTTATAGCACATAATTAGTTCCGTTACTGGAAGCAAGTACAAACAGCTAAAAGTGGAAAGTACCACTGAACAGGCCAGAAAATGCGTGACTGACTCATTATACTATTGCCTTTTCCCCCTTTAGATGTGGTTGCCTGCTTAGTTTTACTTTGACTGCAGAATACTTAACTCAAACCTCTTCTATTGTAGTTGAAAAAATTGAACTACCAGGTGACTGGTCTAACTCTACACATGTTTTGCATGACGTAATTTTATATCACCTCAATGATAATCGACAAGCACCAAAAATAGCTGCACATCAAATCCAATTTTTAACAGAGAACCCATAACTTGACCCTAAACCTTTTATAGAGTATTTAATATATATATATATATATATATATAGTGATGAGTGATCATATAGAGGCAAGGGTGTCAATTGGATGGATTAGAGAAATTGAGTTGGATTATAATGGATGGGTAAATTGAGTTATGATCCATTAGAAATGTATGAAAAAAATCAACTCATCTAAGATGACTCATTTAATTAAAACCATCCAACCCATCCATTAATCAATTTTGAAGGTGTATATCCAACCCATCTATTTAAAAGTACATTATATTTTCAGTAATTGCAAGATTATTGTGGGTGGATCACATAGTGATGGGAAGGCAATAGTAAGAAGAAGAAATTGACTTTCAGCGCTAGCAGGAAGAAACACAGCTTGTTCCATTTTCAATGATTTAATTTAATAATCCAATGTATTGGGAAAATAAATAAAAAAAAGGATAAGTTATTAACCGTCCATTAGTAACAATAACCTAAGCCATATAATTTTGTTTTTCTAAAATGGAAAGCTTGGATTTGATTTGAGCATCGATTGATTGGTGGATTATTGATATGGGATTCTTTTACCACCCCCTACATACAGTTTAGCCCATCATGAACAGAGATACATTAAGGACTAGCAGTAGCACAAATAACATGAACGAAAGTTTTTAATATCACATACCCCTGGATTAATTCCTTCAGCTGCGGCCACAATTCTTCATCCCTTATCTTATTTATAGTCACAGAAATCTTATCAACAACCTGAATTGCCATTCTTATTTTCGTGGAGAGGCTTTTAATCAAACTTCTAGTAGAATCAACTTTATGAAAATCAGCACCCCTATCATCCAAACGCTTCAGCTTGCGACACTTCCTATCATGCAAGACCCGCATCTTTTCCTCTGCCTGCAAACAAATGAACCTTGGAAAAAAGCTTAGTGGAAGCCTGTAAACACTCACTGGTTAACATGGTTACAATACCGCATAAAAGATCGGTCATCCGTTTTTTATTTTTTTAATCTCTCAACCTATCAAACAGATTATATTATAGAACACACAAAAAGTGAAGCGAATGCAGGTAGCAGAACTAAACTGGTTCACAGAGGATAACATTGGAAATTTTGGAACTGGGCAAACATGAAATATCTTAACAGTGAAAGCGAACCCAACGGAATGAGAATGAGATTGATGAGTGACACACCTTAACTTCATTATAGAGTTTCTTCTCCCAAAGGAGAAGCTTCTGCAGTGTAGAGGATAAATTGCGTGCTCCGGTTGCTAGATCAAGCTCAAAATCAGTGGCAGCAGCGGAGGCGGATTCGGCATCTTTAGAAGTAGAAGGTTGGGAGGAGACAAGGGACAAGGAGGGTGCAACAACTTGTAACATCTTGGAAGAAGCTGCTTCCAAGGAAGCGAGTGAGGCAAAATAATAATAAGAGAAAAAAGAGAGGGATGAAAGAGAAAAAGTTATTATGGGGAGTCACCTTGATACGCTGCGTGCTTTCGGTTATGGGGAAGCTTCCCCACCTCGAGGATCTTGGCGATTAGGGCACCGGAATCGGAAGCCCTGTGAAAGAGAAGCTGAATCTCTCTGGCAACCTCCACGGGTGGGCGGGAGCGGAATGCGGCGTGGTCCTTGGGGTTGGGGGCATCGTTATCGGGAGCAAGCAGTTTCTTATCGACGACGTGAACCTCATACTGGACCTCCTCAGGGTCTTGGTCTTGTTGTTCCGGGAGAGGAGGGTCGACGAGCTTCTGATCCCCATGCACCTGTTTGACGACTTCGTGGTGGTAATCCTCGTCTTCCAAATCGGGGATCCCCTCCTCCTCTCTGAGCTCCCTGGAGTCGCGGCTGGGAGTGGCGGCGAAATGGGTGTGGGGGTAGAACTTGTCGTCAGTGGTGTCGAAGAAGTTGAGGAAGTCCCAAGTGGAGGCCCTGGGAGGGGAGGGGGGAGGCGGAGGGGGCTTGGAAGGGGCGCGTGGCGGAGAGGAAGATCCGTGGTAGGGGTCGGGAGGGTAAGGGTAAGGGTAGTGGTAAGGGTAGAAAGAGGAAGAGGACTCTCCGACGTAGACAGCTTGGGGGCTCATGGGCCTCTGCTGGTACACAATTGAGGGCGTGGGTTTCTTCTTCATGTAATTCATGTTCAAGTATGTGGCTTGGGGGGAGTGGTGGAGGGAGAGGTCGTCGGAGTCCGAGTGGAAGTGGAGGTGGGAGCCGGAGTCGGAGTCGGAGGCGGAGGGAGAGGCGTGTTTGGAGAGTTGGGTTTTGTGAGGGGGGGAGGGGGATGGGGATGGGGATGGAGAGGGAATGGCTTCTTTCCCATTTTCCCTTTCTCTGTCTTGGTTTATGAAACGGTGCAAAGACTCTCCAATTGCTTTGAGAGAGTTTATGTATGCGATGTGAGCTGCGGCGAGTGCGTAGCGCTGGTGAATTGCTTCGTCCAGGAAGGCGCACCGCTCCCGGCACAGAGCCACCGCTGGGAGATCGTCCAGCTTCGAGCTGCCACACCCCATCCTACCGATTATTTCCTTTTCCTCTTAGGGTTTCTAATTCTAATCAAATCAACACCGCACAAAGGAAGGAAAGAAAGAGTACAGTTACTGGGCAAGTAGGAAGTAGGAAGTGATTGTGATTCGTGAATGTGAATGTTAATGAATGAGGGAATCTTTTGCCAGCACTCACTCTCTCGTCCGTTTCTATTTCTCACTCTCCCCATTCATTTCTTTTTTTTTTTAAATTTAATTAAAACACCGCACTACTCTCTCTCTCTCTCTCTCGTCTTCTCACTTCTGCGTCGGTGTTAGCCATCACGCTTTTTCTCCAACTAAATTCAAATTAAATTTTTACTTTACAGTCGCCCTTGTCTCTTATTATTCATTACCATTATCTAAAAACACTTGCTTCACCTCATTTAATATTATTTTTCTATTTTCTAGTGCATTATTTATTTTTGTCTTTTCAGCTTCTCTACCTCTCTTTTCATACACAAAGTATATTATTATTATTATTATTATTATTTATTACTTTTTTTTCAACCCAGTTTCGTCGTGGCTAAGTAGTAACATAACATAAGACCGTACGGATTCTACTTTGGAAGCTTGAAAATTCAAGTTTGACGCCTGCCTGCCTCTATGTTTCCATTTGTTTCGGTTACAACTATCTGATTTTTTTATTATAAAATACTAACCAGGAATTCCATTGCCTCAACCTCAATCAAGTCATCGGAATTACAAGTCCGTAACAATTTTCTTTCCTTTTTCTACTACAACACGTAATTTGAAAATTCACATCTTATCGCTCAACAAAAACAACTTCTTTTTTTAAATAAACAACCCCACAAGAAATCCACTCAAAGTCTTAGTTATTTTATATTAAATTTTAACAATTTAATTTTTTTAATATATATTAAATTTTTAATTTTTAAAAAATTTAAATT